AAGTGTTACCGGCTTACATTTATATTATTTAGATAGTAAATACAAAAGTTATTTTTAATTTTGGTCGCTACATTTAAATCAGATTTATTTTGTATTTTATATAATATTTAAAATAATAATATAATTGTTAAACGTTAGAACTGGGTACCAGATTAGCGACCAAAGTTGGTCGCTAATTTGAGTATTTCTTTGACCAAGCAAGTCTGACCAGTCCGGTCAACATTTTGTAACGACCCGATCGTTCGTTCTGAGAGTTATAGCCACATTTCCCCCATCTATGCTTATTTATATGTTGTTCAGCTGTGTTGAGTTGTATCGAGTTGGTAGGTTTGGGTTCGGAGTAGTTTTGGAGTGAAATGAACACTTAGTCTCTTAATTAGAAAGCTAAGTTAGAAAAGTCAACCGGAAGTTGACTTATGAGTAAAAGAATTCGGATTTGGTTTTTTATTATTCGATTAGCTTCGTTGGGTGATTGTAGACTTAGGAGTGTGTCCGAAATATAATTTGGAGGTTTGTGGTTGAATTAGGCTTGAATTGGCAAAAGTTGGAAGTTTAGAAGTTCTTAGGCTTGAATTCGAGGTTGATTTGGTATTTTTGTGTTGTTTTGGATATTTCGGAGGTTTGACTAAGTTCGGGTAGTGATATATGACTTTTTGGAATTATTGGTTGAGGTTCCGAGGGCCTCGGGTGAGTTTCAGATAGGTTTGAATTATGTTGCGCTCGTTTTTCTTATGTTTCGACGTTGTTTCTTCAAGTATAAATGATATCATATTGAACAAATGAGCTCCAATTTCTTTTTTGATTGAAGCATTAGATCCGTATTGTAATTACGGACCTGTAGCAAAAAGAATCGTCGAATTTGGACATCGTATGAGGATTTTATGGTTATTTTACTAAGAATTACGAAATTGCCACTGACAGCGTATTTAAAAATCTGCACTATTTGCAAATATTAAAACCTACATATCTCCTTCGTTATAAGGTCAAATTGAGTGATTCAAAAGCCTAACTTGACTAGAATTTCACAAGGAATCCATTGGAGGCATAAAATACGAGTTTCGGGATCGTTTGTCTTGAGAAACGAGGCAGAATAGCTGGTAGAAAAATATACAAAACTAGGGTTTGTTCATTTGGTCATATTTTGAGTTGGAGAGCTCGGATTTGGGCGATTTTCACCATATGGATTGGGGTAAGTGTTCTCTACTCGATTTTGATTATAATTTATTAATCCATCTTCGTTTTTGGGATTTGCTTGATGATTTCAAAGTGAAATTGAGGGAGTTAGGGTTTGAGTTTTGGAGAGTTTAAGTGAGGATTTGAGTGACCAAACGGAGTCCGATTTTGACGAATTTTATATGGTTAGACTCGGGAGAGGATGAGGATTGTTATTCTTCCATTTTTGACTAATTCTGACACATGGGCCTGGGGGCCGAGTTTTGACCGATTTCGGATTTTTGGCATGTTTATGTAGTTTTTATTGTGTAATTCGATTCTTTAGACTATGTTGATAGTAGTATTCTGATTATGGTTAGATTCGAAGCTTTTGGAGACCGAGTCAAGGGATGAGGACATCCCGGAGTAGGATTTTACGCTGTTGAGGTAAGTAACAGTTTTAACTCTGGCTTTGAGGGTATAAACCCGGAGAAATTGATATCATGTGATTGTTTGGTGGTGATACCCACGCTAGGTGACGGGCGTGTGGGTGTGCACCACGAGGGATGAGACTTGGTCCGTCCCGTGAGGCTGTGAGGCCTAATGGCTATTATTTGTGGTTATGTGTTTACTTGTTGTTGAACTTCTGTGCCTTCATGTTAGAGATCATGTTTAGGATTTATTTATGCTCACATCAATTATACTCATTCATAGAAATTATTATACTGCCTCTGTCTCTATTATTTGATAATATGCTGTGATACTTGATGTGGGTTGTGTCCCCTTATTTGTTGATGATGGTGAGGCTAGTGAGGTACATGATTGAGTGAGGCCGAGGGCCTGGTTGTGAGGATATTAATACCATAGCGCATGAGTTATCCGCGTAGCACGTGAGTTGACCGTGCGGGTCCAGGTATTGATACCATAGCGCGTGAGTTGTCTGTGTAGCACGTGAGTTGACCGTGTGGATCCAGGTATTGATATGGTAGCACGTGAGTTGTCCGTGCTTAGCGCTTGGGCTTTGGGAGCCCCTCCGGAATCTGTACACACCCCCAGTGAGCGAAGAGTGTTGAGTGTATTGAGTGTTGAGTGTTGAGTGCTGAGTGCGAGTTTTGAGTGATGGAGTGACATTGTTGTGAGGTTGCATTTACTTTTGCTGTTGCTGCATTTATCTATTAAATTTCTTTGTGGCATTTACTGAGTTACGGAATTTACCTGTTTATTCTTGTTATTTTTAAAATTGTGAAAAATAAATAATTGGACTATTTTGCTCAGCTCGTCACTACTGCTCAGTTCCTTAGTTATTTCTGTTACTACTGAGGTGGTTGTACTCATACTACACCCTGCACTTTATGTGCAGATCCAGGTGAGTTAGAGCGCGGCGATCGTTGAGTTCAGGTCGGCTTTAATTGGAGACTGCAAGGTAGCTAGCTGCCAGCATCCGCAGGACCTTGTTACTCCTTTTATCATTTCTTCTTTGGACAGTTAGACCGTTTATATATCTCAGTTCATAGTTTTAGACGCTCGTGACTTAGTGACACCCTGATGATTGGGACTCGTTTTCGTATTTTATATTATTTATATTTAGAGTTGGTTTAGTTTATTAGGAATTAAATTATTGGAAATGTTTTATTAAACTCTTATAGTAGTAATATTTTGGGAATAGGCTTGCCTTGTAACACGATAGGCGCCATCACGACCAAGGTTAGATTTTGGGTCGTGACAAAGATCTTGCTCTACTCAATCTTATATGCAATCTGGAATTCCTCTCCCGAGTTCAATCCTAGATTCATAGATAGTATTCAATTGGTGATCAAACAATCAAAAAGCACAAGATTGAATAAAGAGAAATTTTCATAAAGCACTATCTTTTATTGTTAATTAGCCATCTATAGATATCATTTGCTATATTACGGATTGTAGATACATTTTCTATTGTTATAAGATGTATTAGATGTATTTAAGCAACTGTATTCATGAATACAATAGCAAAATAGGCGTGAATCAGGGAAGTCCAGCTAATCAGTTGTTGTATTCGAGTGTATTCGACTGTATTCATGGCGTGAAACATGGGATTACAGCTGGACAGATTATTGTATTCGACAGTATTCACGGCGTGAAACAGGGGATTATAATGTTTTTAAACGGAAAGTGAATCAATTAACATAATGGATTCCTAATATAACTCAACAAACTCAATTATAAGTTTATCACACACAAATTTTGTATTTCCACTTATAAAAAAGATTCTCAACCGAAAAATACCCCAAAAATATAGCAATCTTCAGAGAAATTATATAATACATCTAAATACATAAATTATATTAATAAAAAAATATATATATGAATACATTCAGGGCGTATAGCGGGACAGTGAATACAATAAAATACATAAAATACAGTGGGATGCATTGAAATACAATAAAAAAAAAGACAGTGAATACAATAAAATACATGGAATACAGCGAGATACATTGAATTACAATGAAAAAAAGATAATGAGTACAATGAAATACAGCGCGATACATTGTAAATATATTAAAATATATTAACAGAAATCTTCTTCTTCATCACGATTAATTGAATACCAGGGCTTCTAATTTGATTGAAAAGTTACGGATGACGCCGTTAACACAGGGAAAGGTTTCAATGGATGGAAGCTGGATAATTTTCCCAGAAAGTGGGTGATAGAGGAAGAGATCACATTCTTTAGGCTATATGCAAGCAATCCATACCTTGGATAATGATCCCACACAAACGGAATCGACATCAGGGATCGTCATTCGGTGCTCATCAACCTGTACCCGTATGAGTATGACATCCCCTTCGGCCAATCTGTAGAATTTCAAAAGGGTGCTTTCCTCCTCAAACTCCGGCGGTAGCATCAACCGCGGAGCCACACATCTGCTGCTCACCATATGACTACGGCAACTTCCATCAAACGATTCTCTAATTCCAGGAACACAACTTGGTCTTACCACCAAGGAAGAGCTAGGGTTTCTCGTTGGATTGAGATTGAGCATCGTATTTTCAGGGAACGGGGGAAGAGAATGACATGTATCAAAATATAGAGAGAAAGAAAATAGTGTAACTGAATAGCGTATTTAGTGGCTTAGGTTAGGAGGTAACCAAAATTAGATATTTTGCTATAAACATTAAAAGGTATTTATAGAATATAATTTTTAGGTATTTATTTAAAATAAATAAGGTGTTAACCTTTGCTATAGGAGGTAAAAATTCCTTGAATAAATAAACCAATATGATAAAATAATAAGAACAGTTCAAACTTCAAACCACAAAGTTCATGTAGCACGCCAAAACTCTAGAACTAATAAAATATGAAACTAAAAGAATAGAAGAGAAGAAAAACTAGTTAGAAGCCTACTCCCAGCGTGGTGTGTTCCTCCACGTTAAAAAATTAGGTTTAGGACTCCTTATATATAAATTAGGACCGTATAGGACCGAAATAACCTTGTTTTAATTAAAATAGAAAAATCATTGTAACACAGCGTCCAGGGTAACGCCTCGCGCCGGCCCCGGCGCTGAAAGCAATAAGTTTTCACGTTCCTTTGCTGCGTTCCCGTCATCAACTGCATTCTAAATGCAATTGTACTAAATATCCTTTTTCTTGTCTTCAAATTGGGGGACAAAACTCAAAGGGTGTCCCCCCATTTTTATTCATTTAATTGTTTTTCTTTTTCTTCCGCCTTTAATCCAATTTTGTTTCAAATCTCTTCATTTTCATACCATTTTATTTCTACACAACTAAAATATAATATTAAGCATAATGTAATATAGTTAACACTCAAAAGACGATTAAAAGTACTAAAACGTAAGGTAACAATAGATAAATATATGCATTTTTGGTCGAACATCAACAACCTTTTACACACCCAAACTTATAAAAAAAATAAAAAAAAGTGAAACAATTACCTTCCTAAAATGACACGTGGCTGCGCGACACTTGTTTGGATTAAAAGGAAAGAAAGAAACTCCATCTCCGGCAATGCTTCCACCTGCTGATGGCTGCGCCACCGCCAAGTTTTCCAATTCCGATTACATTCTTTCTCTGTTAGCGCCTATTAACAAAGATCTGGTACAAATTCTGCCTTTAAATTCATTAGAGCAAAATATTAGCTCTTGCTAGTACTGCAATGCAAGTATGGCCAAATCTGTAAGTTTGTGCACATGTTGAATAAAAATTTCTCCTAGCAGTCGACGCAGGTTCATTTTTCCTTCTTCTTTTTTTTTTACCTGAAAAAGACAGCTTGTAGCTAGATAATTTAAAAGATCATAAGGAGTTAAATAAAAACTGTTATTAAATTTGCTATCTCTTAATTATTGCTACAGTTAGCTAGTAGTTCTAAAGATTTAGCACGCCAGTTAACTTTAGCTAAATTATACTTGGATAAAATTTTATGTTAAAATCTTGACTTCTCATTGAAGTGTTGCCTCTTGATTAATGCTTATATTTGTTTAGACTTATCTTGCTGGTTGAATTGGCAAAATCAGAATTAAAAATACATATGCAGAATCAATGTTGAAGGTTATCCCTTAATTAATGCTGCAAGTTGGTACTAAAAAATTGTTATATATAGCCGTTGACAGTTAAGGTGCCTTTTGACTGGCTAATTGCTTTCCGTCACAGTCGATTGAGGATTTGAAGTTTTATCGGTTGGTACAACAATCTCAAGTTAATATACGACAATAACCCTCTTAACAGTCAAATATCTGCATATATTTAGTGTTTCTTAATAATATATACACGGACTGTGCAAAAGCTACTGCATTCTCGTGAATCCATAAGTTGTGCTCTATATCTGTTCTAGGTAACACAATATTAGGAAAACGATATTCAAATAAAAATATTTATAACACAAATGACAACTTTTATGTTAGTGTTTGCCATATCTGTCATTTTTAAGTGTCAACCTAGTCCAATAATTCATTCCTTTACTGCAGAATTACAGAGAGAGATGGCTGCATATGTTGCATTGACTTCTCTAATGGGAACAATAGACCAACTTCAGCTTTTGCAATCAAACTTAGATCTATTGGACACTCATGTGAAAAGTTTGAATTTACTCCACGAGAAGGTTGATTCTCTGCATGAACTTCTTGACCATTATGCTGATGAACAAACGAAGAATTTGCACGCAAAAGTCAGACAAATAGCAAATGAAGCAGAAGATGAAGTTGAATCGCAGATGAAGGTGGTAATGGACGAACAACATGACAGACTCCATCAAAAGGAAGCCCTCGAGAGTCTTTTTGAGATCTTACAACGAGGTATTGAAAATGTTGATTCCCTCAAGGATGAGCTCATCAAGCACACTCAGAATAACACTTCGCAAGCTGGAAATTCCTCACTTAGTGATTCAAGTTCACCACGATTGCATGCTTCGACCCTTGAGAACGATATGGTGGGGTACAACATTGAACAAGAAAAGTTGCTGAGTCAACTCACGAGTGGCTCGCCTGAACTGGAAGTCATCTCTGTTACTGGTATGGGCGGCATTGGTAAGTCTACTTTTGCCAAAAACTTGTTTTCTCATCCCTCGATTTTGAGCTTCTTTGACATCCGTGGATGGATTACCGTATCTGAGAACTACAGTTATAGAAATATGCTTTTAGGCCTCTAAATAGATGCTAAATCTTGGGAAAGGACAAGACCTTGATAAGAANCCTCCGGAGTCTGTACACACCCCCAGTGAGCGCAGAGTGTTGAGTGTATTGAATGTTGAGTGTTGAGTGCTGAGTGCGAGTGCTGAGTGATGGAGTGACATTGTTGTGAGGTTGCATTTACTTTTGCTGTTGCTGCATTTATCTGTTAAATTTCTTTGTGGCATTTACTGAGTTATGGAATTTACCTGTTTATTCCTGTTATTTTTAAAATTGTGAAAAATAAATAATTGGACTATTTTGCTCAGCTCATCACTAGTGCTCATTTCCTTAGTTATTTCTGTTACTACTGAGGTGGTTGTACTCATACTACACCCTGCACTTTATGTGCAGATCCAGGTGAGTTAGAGCGCGGTGATCGTTGAGTTCAGGCCGGCCTTAATTGGAGACTGCAAGGTAGCTGCCAGCATCCGCAGGACCTTGTTACTCCTTTTATCATTTCTTCTTTGGACAGTTAGACAGTTTATATATCTTAGTTCATAGTTTTAGACGCTCATGACTTAGTGATACCCTGATGTTTGGGACTCATTTCCGTATTTAATATTATTTATATTTAGAGTTGGTTTAGTTTATCAGGAATTAAATTATTGGAAATATTTTATTAAATTCTTATAATCAAATTAGTAGTAATATTTTGGGAATAGGCTTGCCTTGTAACACGATAGGCGCCATCACGACCAAAGTTAGATTTTGGGTCATGACACATTTTGACCACATTAGTGACCAACCTTGGTCGCTAATTTATTTAGAATAATTATTTAATTATTTTCTCCATCTTGGCGACCAACGTTGGTCGCTTTTCTTGACAGACCAACTTTGGTCGCCATTTTTTGGTCGCTTTTTTCGGAATTCTAGTAGTGGAGATAACAATAAGACTCATGCTCTCTATCTAGTTGCAGTTGATAATGGTGGTGGTAGTTCAAGTGATGGGTACTGGTTGTTCTGGATAATAATGGTGGAGGGGTGGATGGTGGTGGATTGAGATGAGGGGGTGGATGGTTATGATTGAGGATGGTGGTGGTGGCAGCGTGGTAGTTGTTAATTGTGGGATAGTGAGTGGTGGTAGTCAATAATAATGGCGGTAATGATTATACTTGAGGATGATGGTGGTTGAGTATGGAGGTAGTTGGTGGTGCATGGTGGTAGTTGATAATTGTGGGCAATACCAGTAATTAATCGTGAATTTTTATAGTAACATCTTAATGAAATTAAGTCTGTTTTATAGATCTTAATCATTCAGACCTATTCGGACTTATTAAGTGGTTGTGAAATTAAAAATAGAAACACACTTAATGATCATGATTTGAATAATTCAGATTAAGAATTATAAAATAAACACGCTTAATGAAGTCAGGCCTCCATTAAATGCAAACAAATGAGGTTGCTATGGAACGAGAGGAGTAATGCCAGAGATTCCGCTGCAACTTGCAATTATTTTGAGTGAATTTTTTACTGAATATTTATTTTGCACTATCGGACCATATTGCCTCCTACTTCCTCATAACTGCTGCATTTCCAACCGCCACCTTCCACGTTCTTTTGCTCAAGAAGAGAAAACAACTTTCTTTAACAAGTAAATATTTAGTAATGATAATTAGAATTGCTTCTGAAAATTATTCACACGACAGGAATTTCCCTTGGGTTGTAAGAGAAACCGAAAAATGCAAACTGCCTCAAGGATTCGTAAACTCACAAAGGGAAAAGGGTTAATTTTGTCATGGCAGCTAGAGAAACACTAGCAAATCAAGCCATTGCTTGTTTCCAACTCTTGAAGGATTGTTTCTTGGTGTGGCAACGGTGGCAATGCAACAATGGTCTGATCAAATGACGGACGCTGAATATATATATATATATACACACACACTAGTCTCTCTGAACGTGCGTTGCACGTTTATCTCATATCATTATTATAAAGTTTGTATTGCAATATACTGAACTTTTATCATATGCATACTTTAAGAATTTCTTTAGTTGTAAAGGCATTTGGACACACAATATTTGCAATTATATATTTAATTTATAATTTTATTTGTTATTTTAATTTTAATTTTGAATAAAAAATTTTGAACCTAAAAATTTTGTTTGTGTATCTCAAAGGATGTAATGTTTTCTCATAAAGGTTCTAACTTCTTCTCTAAGTGAAATTCATATCAAATAATCCCAACTTCAACTTTAATGCAGAATACTAATTTTTCAAACTTCAGCCAAATATTGTCCAAACATAATCATTTTAAATGAATAAGATCAGTATTTGCAGTTAATAATCGTAAAATGAATTTTTTTTTTTTTGGTTAACATTATATATATATTTCAAATATGAAAAGATACTTTCAAAACTTTGATATATGTATGGTCAAACTATTAGGAGTATTATTTATTTATGAAAGAAAAGGCTAAATGAAAAAAATGGGGAATTGATGACTCAATGGGTCATAATTTTGAATTTGCTTTAGTGTCTGGGAAATGGATCCCCAACCCTATGAACAACAACAACGCACAATACCCCCTAAACCCCCAGATATTGATCAAACCACGATCAAACCTAGCTTCAAAGAGATGCTTACTACTTCAAACCCTCTGCTCTTCACCACTGTAGAAAATCATCAAGATATAGACCCTCTAATGATGGATCCAGATGATCAAGTAGTTGATCAACCATCCTTACCAACCTCAAAGGCATCAAATTCATAACACTCTCTGATGAGGGGAAGGTACGAATCTATGAGCCATGGAAAAATTCCATCATAATAAAGCTAGTGGGCAAACATATGTTACACCACTATCTAAAGAAAAAAATTCAAGAGCTATGGAAACCAACTGAGGATTTCCAACTGATTGACCTTGGAGCAGACTATTACATAATCAAATTCAAGAAAAAGGAAAATATGAACAAGGCAATGCATCAAGGCCCTTGGTTCATCAACGGGCATTTTCTTTCTATTGCTAGATGGAAACCAAATTTTATTGTCACTCAAGAAAAGCTCACAAACTCAGCTTTATGGATTAGACTTCCTCAATTACCTACAGAATTTTACGATGGAAAAATTCTGGAAAAAATTGGTAATGCAATTGGCCGTCTCCTAAAAATTGATGCTTGCACATCAACAACTCTGAGAGGTCGTAATGCAAGATTATGCGTGAAATTACCATTGGAAGTTCCAGTTCAACCATTCATCTATGGTGGCCACCACAAACAAGCAATACACTACGAAGGTGAAATTTTTTTTTGTAAAAACTGTGGACGATTGGGGCATATAGCACAACAATGCTCCTTTATTAATCAGAGGAATAGGGATAACAATAATGAAGATACAACCAAGGAATTATCAACAATTACAAATAATGGGGAAAAAGAACAATGGACAACAATTTCTTTTTCCAAAAGAAGACATCAAGGTGCAAAAGGCCCCCAAAAACAACCTATTGCAAATCCGATTAAGCAAGCTAATGGCCCAGGTATCTCTGTCAAGCTTTTCAATGCCAACACTGGTAAGTATCTAGATACTCAGCTATTACAATATAAAACAAAAGAATATAAAAATTCTACCCCATCACCCCATACCAACAATCTTCAATCTTCGACTCCTTTACTTGGGGATCAAAACAATTTTCCTACAAAAAATAACTTTTCTATCTTAACTGAACAGCCTATGGTTTTGAATAAAACCACTAACAATATTAATAATCAAAATCTTTTTTTTAATAAAGCACATGCAAGTGAACAAATATCCCAAATTACTAAGGATATTGACATGCTGGACACAAACGTGTCTTCTATTTTTAATCCTACAAAAAAAGTTGTTAAGATAGACATGCAAAATAACTTCTATAATGACACTATTACCCCTATGAAAAACCAATGCCCTACTAATAACACGACCCTTCCTAGTGGGCAGATTAGTAATAAACCATCCGTTAACCACAATATCAAGCAAGATCTCTCATCAAGATCTGCTTTTCCTCCAAAGCCTAAGCATGTTAGCCAAATGGCAACAAAAGAAGAACAATCTAGCCAAATGGCTAACAATCAAATACACGCAATGGATTTGGAAGCTCAGCCTATAAACTCCTCTCTTGGGGACTCAAACGACATGCAAAAGCCATCCCCAATCATTACCCTATCAACCAATCCTCTCCTAATACCTAATAGCTTCCCCCCCCCCCCCCGCCTGACTTAGAGTTATTTAGTAACCTGAACACTGTTCATAATGCCAACCTTACCATCATCCCTAAGGAGAAGACAAAGACTCCTCCAAATCCTTCGTCAAACTAGAATCACCATGGAAAATCTCCCACCTCTCCAACCTCAACCAGTAAATCCCCAAATAATATATGTTCAGCCACCTCAAGCCCAAAACTACCAACCAATATCATGGATGGAGATGGGTTTGATGGGCCATGCATGCTCTTTCAATGTCCAGATAAATGGTCAGGACTCAGTTATCATCCTCCACGACACCCAGTATCTAGCTCAGTTGGTGACAGAAGGCATGAGGTTGGCCATGAACAATTACCTCAACCAAGCATGTCTCAACAACATTCTCCAACCCTTAGCACCATCAGTGAACCCCCAGCTGGTCCATGCAATGAGGAACCAGTGGAATCTCCCTCCACACTTCAATCCCATCTATCCTCAGAATGCTCTAATGGACACGCCATTCTTCATGCCGGAGAATCTCTCTCAACTGAACCCTATATTTCTTCCATGGGAACAACCCCAACCAGTCCAGGAGCCTCAAATACCACAACAACCTCCATCCCCACCCCACAATCCAGTAAATGTGCCAGAACCAGTAAAGACAGAAATGGAAGAGGGGGAGGAACCCCTAAACCTTCTCTTAGAAAGAGTCCTAGAAATATCAAGTCTCGACGGAGTAAAAGTGTTTCTCTTTTTGGAGAGTCAAGAGAAGAGGCATGTTCTCAGCTGCCCGTTAGCATTATACAAATGCTCGATGGACAT